GTACATGAATTGTCATCTAAACAGTGAGTTATATAACTGGCAAACAATTATCGCTATATTGTTGACTGAAATGCAATTCAATGGCAATAAAGTGTTTTTAACATCAATTCAATGATAAACAAGTGTTCATTCAATGTATGAATAGATTTGACAAAAATATTTTCACACAAAAAGATAACCAAAAAACAGTGCTTTTAATAGATTAGACACTTTTGAAGGCCTATAGGGGTCGACACCTTATGGCACATATCGTCGCACGCATTGACTGCTGAAAGTCATTCAATACAACACTGTTTTTGTGTCTCATATTTGTTTCTCGACAATCTTCTAGATATCATTCAATTGATCCCATTTTAATTGCGTGTCGTTTGTATTGATTAGGCATTTGATTGAAAGGTTTGTGACATTGAATTTGAATAGCATTTGAGGTGTAATGCATTGGTTTGTATTGTAAAGCAATGGCCGGCGAAGGAGTGGACGAATCCCAGTTCACGGGACTCTCGAAGCACTTCAACTCGTGGACAAACTATGGCCGAAGAAACGTCTCATTGGCCACACTATCTATGGTCGGAGTCGGCATTCTTTATCTGGTTTTGAAGCCCAAGAAGCAGAAACCCGTCAAAACTTAGGACTCATTTATGTTTAATAACAAATGTTTATTAATTTCACATTTCGTTGAATTCATTGAATGTTTGCTTTCAATACTTTCTATTAATTCAATTCTGTATTTAACGCCTTATTTGGAGATTTAGTCTTAATTATAGATTTAAAATATGTTTCAATTGTAAACCAAATTGTGTTTAAGTTAATAGAAAATTAGAGTAAAAATAAATGAGATTTTAAAATAAATAAATTGAACTCACATTCAGAGCTCAGATGCAAAGCTATGGCCAACTGTTGTCGTTCTGAAAGTGGTGTCACATTTGGTTCACGTCTCGCCGTTTCTGACGGACTGTCAAAAAGTCTTCTCCTTTTGAGTAGTTTTTGTTTTCTATTGAATGATGTCTTCGAGGAGTTTGGTGTGAATGAAGTGATGGAGGAGTCAGTGAATGACAGAGTGGGTGAATATGGAGGCGAAAGGGCCTGAAGAGGAGATTGCGGTTAAATAAGTGGTAATCGATAAGTGATTTGAAGTGAATTTACATATTTGTGGTCAAAACGGATGGATTGGATGCTATGAGGAGTGCTTTCGCTGAAGTAATCGGACGTTTCAGACCTAATGCTCACACAATCAAAACGGTTCTCTTCGTCGGACATTGCCTTACAATTGATGATCATTTGGTGAGACAATTACTGAGACATGTGTTGAACACAATTATGACATCATTTAAACACTGATTAAATAAATGTAAACAAAATGAATGAATGGTTTAACGAAATGACATTCATATGAATGGAAATGCATTTAAAACTTATGCAAACTTTGGCTCCTTTTTGGCCGTCAAAGCAATGCATTAAATCGCGCGCTAAATGTAGGCATCCATACACTTATAGGCGCCACTTTTGAACACATCTATACTACCATTCAATTGTGTATAAATTTACAAATTAATCATATTTATTCATATTTAATTAATATTACCATCATTGTTTATATTAGCAACATTGACAATATTATTAATAATATCAAGTCTTAATTGAAGATCAATGAAAATACTATACCGTAACAGTAATATACTCCTCTCTCACTCCTATATTGCTATATAATATATTAAATTAATTAAATTAACCAAAACTTCTTATAATTACACAAATGATAGCATTAATAAATTGTCGATTGAAAAGAAATTATTATTTATTGACAATGACATGAAATGAAAAGATGGTCATTTCACGTTTAATAGTATACATATTTACAGAATTGCATTATAAAAATTATAATTTATAAATTATAAAACAAAATTCTCTCTCAAAACAATTAATGCCAAATCATAAGCGCCTGAATTGCGATAAATTAACGATAAGTTATAAGCAATTTCTCTCTTCAGATCAAAAATATGTTTATGTTTAACATTAATATTGATGTCAGTGTTGAGGGCTCTCCTATAGAAATGGATGGCATTGTTCAAGAGTCCCAACTGATGGAAAGCGCGGCCGACGTTGTATAACGACTCCTGGCATTCGCCCCTCAGCTCGAGATAGAGGTCGAGAAAAGCGCACATTTGTATGACAATTGAGTGTCGATTACTCGTAAACTTTTGAGACGCCAAATGAACAAAAGCCAGACCCACAGAGAAGGCCGCGAACGGGTCTTTAGGACACTGTTTCAAAATGGCCACGTATTCGGCCAATGCGTGCTTATAACTGCCACTCATGAGGGCGTTGTGGCCATTAAAATAAGCCAATGCTATGTTCTCCGGGTTTTTGATGAAAAGTCTAATACAGAAGCGATTGTGTCTTAAGTCTTGATAAAACTGAGACATAACCGGACAGAAGATATTCCAGATCTGGTTGTTATCAATGTTTCGCATAATCAAAGCCTTAATCAATGGATAAGTGTAGAAGAGGTTCTTCGACACATAGCAACACATGAGTGCGTAATAATCAATGAGATCTTGTTTTGCGGCGAAAGCACTGCACGTATAGCCAGAGAATGCAATTTTAACCGCTTCTTCGGGGTCTCGTATTTTGTATAGTAAAACATTCAATAGTTTGACAAACACTTCAACCATAGTTTCAGAATCAATATTATCGCCGATATATTTATGATTAAGACTGTCGTCAGTGAGACCCAAGTCTTTATGGACATCACGTAAAGCCTCCAATCGAGTCCTATAGGATGAGGAGGAGATCATTGTGCAGAGCTGTCGACTGTGTCTCAAATATGTCATATCACTAGACAATAAAATTCTGGCAGCAATTGAGAAGTCAAACCAAAGTGCCTGTGAATACAACAAACGGCACCGCATTTGCAATAAATCCAAATCAATTTGAGTTTCGCTCTCGCATTGACTCGCGATTTCGAGCGCTTCCTTCTCTTTGCCGACACTAACCAACAGTTTTGAGAGCTTAAGTCTCGCGTGAAAGTGATTGGGCGCTAGTCTTACGACTGTTGAGTACGCGATAATCGACTGCTGAGTCTCTTTAGTCTTCTCTAAACATTCGGCAAATCGTAACCAAATGGACGCCTCGTTATAGGTCTCGGTGTCGACCAGACGTTGGACCAGAAGTTTAGCGTTTTCATGCAAATCCATTTTCATGAACGCGTCCACAATATCTAAATATAAATCTCCAATTGTTTCCGCGCTCTGCAGAAGAATCTCTTTGAGTAAATCGTGGACAGAGAGAAGACACCGAAGATTTATTAGCGAAACAATCAATTTGGCTCTCAAATCGATGGGTAACTCTAAATACTGCAGATGTATCGTAAGATCACATTTGCTCATAATATCATCACTTAATTCACTGCATTCTTGACCACAACTCATGAGACTTAGACCGCAGTATTTCTTAAAAGCCATCAAAACGCTAACGTATTGTTCGTTTGTAATCAAGAGTTCAATATAAAGATTCACTTCTTCTGAAGTGACGAATGAGTTGTGTTTCTCGAGCGCCGCTTCAATCACTTCTATGGCCG